ATTGCGCAGATCGCAGCCCCCCAGGGGCAGCGAGGTCCCGTGGTGATCCGCGTATGACGTACCTCCGCTGGGCCTCCCAAGAGCCCACGAAAGTGGCGACAATTGCGCAAATCGCTGCCCCCCAGGAAGCGGCGAGGTCCCGTGGTGATCCGCGTATGACGTACCTCCGCTGGGCCTCCCAGGAGCCCACGAAAGTGGCGACAATTGCGCAGATCGCAGCCCCCCAGGGGCGGCGAGGTCCCGTGGTGATACGCGTGTGACGTACCTCCGCTGGACCTCCCAGGAGCCCACGAAAGTGGCGACAGTTGCACAGATCGCAGCCCCCCAGGGGCGGCGAGGTCCCGTGAGTGGCGATCCGCGTATGACGTACCTCCGCTGGGCTTCCCAGGAGCCCACGAAAGTGGCGACAATAGGAGGAGAGGGGAGGAGGAGGAAGGAGGAAGGACGGGGCGACCACACTGCTCAATTCAAAACGAGAACCCAACACGGGAGGGTTGGGAAAAAATTAGCCTGACGAGGGACCCAACCATATGCAGGTGCGAGTACCGCAATAGTGATTCATTTTTTCGGTGGCGATCCCTATGAGGCAACGAACCGTGCTAGGGGCGTGCCGACATGAGTGGCGTGGTACACAAAGTGAACGAAAACGATTGATCTGAGTACGTAGGGAGACTGAGCGCGGGTGAATCTGCGCGCGTGCGTCTGACTGTGAATGATCTGCGTGCGAGCGAGTCTACGTGCATGAATGCGAATATGACAAAGCGTGGTGCAAATGTGTATGAATGCCAATAGTTTGACAACGACTGCCTCTGAATACTCGTGACGCTGGGCGTGGCCGCCGCAAGGAGCTTCCCCGGGACTCCCCGACGGCATCGCCCGCGCGCCGCGACGCCAATGTCGGCGCGCCCCCCCGCGAGGATCGCGCCCGCTTCCTCCCCTTCCTTTACTCCCTCTTTGCCCGCGCACTCAAAAGTCCAAGGCTGCGGGAGCAGCGCAGCGCGGAGCCCCCGCGACGCGCGCAGGTCACCCCGGAGGGGTCCCAGCGACGCGCGCGGGTCGTCCACTGCGCGGAGCGAAGAGAGCTAGCTGGCTGGCTGATAGCGGGCAAGGCTCTTGCCGCTGGGCAGAGCGACGACGGGCGAGCGAGGCGCTGGGCGGAACGCAGCACGGAGCCCCCGCGACGCGCGCAGGTCGCCCCGGAGGAGTCCCAGCGACGCGCGCGGGTCGCCCGCTGCGCGGAGCAAAGAGAGCTAGCTGGCTGGCTGGGACCTGCGGTGGGGCTCCATATGGGGCCACGTAACGCTGTACTGGGCAAAGGAGACGCATGTGGACTGCGCCACGGGGACCTTCGGTGGAGCTCCCTATGGGGCCACGAAACGTGTGAGGGATGTGCCGGAATGGGTGTGCGGGACGCATGCGGGCACACCCACTGAGACCTTCGGTGGAGCTCCCTATGGGGCCACGAAACGTGTGAGGGGTGGGACGACATGTGTGTGCGGGACGCATGCGGGCACACCCACTGGGACCTTCGGTGGAGCCCCCTATGGGGCCACGAAACGTGTGAGGGATGTGCCGAAATGGGTGTGCGGGACGCATGCGGGCACACCCACTGGGACCTTCGGTGGAGCTCCCTATGGGGCCACGAAACGTGTGAGGGGTGTGCCGAAATGGGTGTGCGGGACGCATGCGGGCACACCCACTGGGACCTTCGGTGGAGCTCCCTATGGGGCCACGAAACGTGTGAGGGGTGCCGAAATGGGTGTGCGGGACGCATGCGGGCACACCCACTGGACCTTCGGTGGAGCTCCCTATGGGGCCACGAAACGTGTGAGGGGTGTGCCGAAATGGGTGTGCGGGACGCATGCGGGCACACCCACTGGGACCTTCGGTGGAGCTCCCTATGGGGCCACGAAACGTGTGAAGGGTGTGCCAAATGGGTGTGCGGGACGCATGCGGGCACACCCACTGGGACCTTCGGTGGAGCTCCCTATGGGGCCACGAACGTGTGAGGGGTGTGCCGAAATGTGTGTGCGGGACGCATGCGGTGGGGTGCACCACGAAACCCGAAATGGGTGTGCGGGACGCATGCGGGCACACCCACTGGGACCTTCGGTGGAGCTCCCTATGGGGCCACGAAACGTGTGAGGGGTGTGCCGAAATGCGGGACGCATGCGGACCACTGGGACCTTCGGTGGAGCTCCCTATGGGGCCACGAAACGTGTGAGGGGTGTGCCGAAATGGGTGTGCGGGACGCATGCGGGCACACCCACTGGGACCTTCGGTGGAGCTCCCTATGGGGCCACGAAACGTGTGAGGGGTGTGCCGAAATGGGTGTGCGGGACGCATGCGGGCACACGCACTGGGACCTTCGGTGGAGCTCCCTATGGGGTCACGAAACGTGTGAGGGGTGTGCCGACATGGGTGGTGATAATGATGATGACGACAGATGATGATGACGATGACGATGATGGGGATGATGACGATGATGATGAAGATGGGAGGAGGGAGGGGGCAGCGGGAAGGAAGGAAGGAACGCGGGGCGACGTCTCTTCAAAACGAGGACCCAACACCACAGGATGGTTGGGAATTAAAAAGCAGTCAACAAGAACCCCAACATGATCAAGAATAGTCGAAAAATCGTCCCCTGACTATTGTTTGATTATGTTTGAATTTGCCTCCTGTAGAGGGACAGGCCCGATTTAAAGCTACTTACGAGCACCATGTTCCAACCGAGAAACACCGCCCCACAGGCCGAGCACTACGGCGCGTCGTGTGCGCACGCTTCAACCTTGCACCCTGCAGGTCTGAATCGGGGGGACCTCGAAGGCTACCCGGGCGCTCACACTTCCGAACGGAAAGATGGCTGCTGTGGAGCACGCCGGCCAGCGGTGAGGTCTCAGAGTGGGGGTGTGCCGCGTCGTCAACGCCAGAAACACGCATCACCATGTAGGCGGAGTGGGAGGCTCAACACCCTCATCGTTGTTGCAAGGAGACGTCGAGACGGGAAAACGTTCGACTGCTGAGTCTTCTCCATTGCGTGCGCATCGCAATGATAGCTTGCTCGCGACGTTTTTACTGCAACAGGCTGAATGTCGTGCGACCTTGCTGCACGATCGTCCGCGAACAGCCACTGCAAGTGTGAGAGAACGCTGAACTGGCGCATCTTGGAGGCGGCCAGCGGAGTCTGAACTGGCTGGGGCCCGAAAAAATCGGTCGGGAGGGGGGTGAGGCCAGATCCGCTAAAAAACAATTTCCAGATCTCTCCCGAAGTCCATCTGGTGCAGTATGTCACCCCGGAACAGTTTTCACGGCTCGAACCCAGAACCTCGAACCTGCCCGCCCTTCCTGCTGGCCAAGACCAGTGGTGGGCCACCTCAGACCCCCAGATGGTTCCGAGCTGAATGTCGCACGTTCCTGCACGATCGGCCGCGAACAGCCACCGCAAATGTGAGAGAATGCGGAAGCAGCGCAACAATCACCATAGCCCACCGCTGTAGGACTCCTTGGGACGCCCTGGGCCGGAGAACGGGACAGTGTGGCAGCCCGCTGGTCGGCGAGGCCTCCACCCTCGACGCGCTTGGGTTTCTTGGGCCAGTTGTCTACCGTGCACGAAAGTACGCCTCAAGAGACGCCCTGACGGCGGCAAATGTCATCGTTTATGTACTCTTGCCGGCCTGACCGAAATCTTCGCGGTGGCTAGATGGGATAGTGCAAGCATATGCGTATGTATACATGTACACACAAACACACGTCGTCTCTTTTATCTCTCCTGCCCTCGTCCTCCGGGGGCCAGGTCGGCCCCCAGGGGACGAGGCCGGGAGTGAAAAACAGTGGACGACAGTTGTGGCATGCCCCGAAACAGTTCACTGGGGGAGCGTGGGCCGCCAGAACCGCACTGCCGCCCAGAACAAGGCCAAGGCAGCGAGAGGAGGACTAACTCCGATGACCGCGGGTCCCGCACAGGACCTGCAAAGGGACGTCTTTCCCCCCCGAGCGCGACCGGTAAGGCGCACGGGTATGAGGGAACACCCGCGCCTTAAAATGTGATGCGAGCGTCCTCCCTCAGGCTGCCATTGCATAGGGGCCGCAGCGAGGAGGCATCACGGTGCCTAGGCCCCCCGAAGCAGGCAAGTATCAAGGGCGAAGAGACCCGTGGACCGAAAGTATCCAGAGCGTGCCACGGGATACCAGTCCTTGCGTCGCGCTTCGCCGCATGAGACACGAGCCCATCTTAAGGCGAAAATGGGCGGGTGGCCCAGGAAGAGTTTGGCCGAGACTCGAGCCACCAGCTATGGAAGAGCCCACAGATGAAGACGACGATGGATGGTGAGGTTAATGACGACATTGCCGACGATCATCGCTAGCTTCATCGTCCCTCTCCATTTGATGGAAGCACGGCCGGACCAGCCACCCGTGACACCTGTTTCCCAGGTAGGCATTGCAAGCTATCGTGTCAAGAATTTCTCCAGCCAGCTCGATCCGCAAGTGTTCTAGCCTGGGATCAAAACACCACAAAGGGCGAATCTGGCGCGAGCCGCCCGACAATCTCGCCCGCCACTGACGTGACGCACCAACGCCGTGACCTTCGGATAGGCCCCCTGGGATTCGGCGACGTACCGATTCCGTGAAATTTCAGATCGGTCCTCTGAGGTTCCAGGGCCAGGCAAGGGCTCGAGGGCAAGGCTCAGGCACCATCTAGGTGACCCCTGATTGGCCCGCATGCCCTACAATCCAAGACGTTTTTAGATCCCGTATCCATGCCAACCGCGCGGCTGGTCGAAATCATGGCCTGGGTCGACACGGAAAGGAAAAGCAGCTGAAAGTTGTACAGTGGCATGTGGGCCCAGAGCGATCGCCTTGGCAATCTAGACAGTCGCAGCCCCACTAAAAAAACAGAATGACATTATCACAAGAGAGGTGGCCCTGATTCCCACGCTCCCTGCGAGATCCCGCCCTACGAAGATCATACTGACAAGCGCAGCCCCTTGAACAGATACGATGTCAGTTACCATCAGTGACGAAATCCTACGACTGGGCACGGCATTCGCTCAAGAATTACCAGGGCCACAAATACTCGACGATGGCATGTTCCTTGGTAGCACCTCTCTTGGTCCACACCCACATTGCTGGTTAATCATGTCTTCGTTGGCGTCGTTCGGGGAACCTCCTGCCTGCTAAGAGGCCCAAACCCGATCCAGACGTTGGCCAGCTGGCCTGCTGCGGTGCTGGCCCAGGCTATCCAGAAGCGAATGCCAATGGAGATGGAGCGCAACCTGGTCACGCTTAGCAAGCCACGCCCGTCATTCTTGGGAATTCGAATTAAACGCACACATGTTACAAAGCGTGGGCACCTTGTCACCGCACTGTATACACAGGCAGATGTGGGGGAAATGTCGATCACATGCTGAGAGGTGCAGTCCAGAAAACAAGAACCCCTTCGGCAGATCACCCGACGATGGCCGCGGCCTTACCTTGCACCGGGGCCACCGCTCGCCGCAGCCCAACAAGCTAGGAGTCTGAGAACCGATCAGTCACTCCAGCTGGGATCCTCCCAACGTCTTCTTGAATATTCTGCTGCGCAATAAGACCTTTCAAACGGTGCACCCCGACTGCATAGTATATAAACCGTGCGGTAGCGTTCGGTCCATGGCCCAAATGCTGCCTGGAGGTAGTGCTGCTGATAGCGCGGACGCGCGACCTGCGCGGCGCCTGCGTCGGTGTACAGCCGCTGGTCCACCTTGACGGCGGCATCTGTGGATCGTCATGCCGCACCTCGAGTCCACTGGTACACCTGTGAACTGCTGGGGTCGGGTCGCATGCGAGCTCTCCACGCGGAGATACGCTCCTGCGTGGACCTTGCACGCTCCTGCTGCAAGCTGTAGCCGCGTCTGCAGCCGCTGTCTGGCGTTCCAGCATGTTCCCGCGGTTGGGCACATTTGAGTCTATGGCCAGTAATCCCATGGCAGCCTGCCACCCTGCCACGCTACGTGAACAGCCCTTACGCCCATGAGTCCGCCAGAGAGCTGGGTAACATACCGAAAACGCTGCTCGTACTCCCAATACGGGCCTCTGGTGTCTGGTGTTTGGCCGCGCGGGTTCTTGATGGAGAGACGCTGTTGGTACTTCCACCCTCCTGTTGACTCTGCGTCAGGGCAGGTAAAGCTCGTCCATATGGCGCAGGCAATCCTCCCACGCCCAGGCCTGATCAGACAACCAGGAGTCTGCCGTGGAGAGAGGGGTGATCTCACGCTACAGCTGCTCCTAGAAAACGCTGGCCTCCGCATAATCATGACATGTGTTCGTCTTGTCGGAGCGCTGCTGGTTTGCGGAGTACTGGGGCATTCCAGACAAGCTGCCCAAGAACTGGTCGTCCATTGAGGAATGGCATGTCAACCATCACCAACTTGCGGCCGAATATGCGATGAGCAACCTGAAGAACAGAGGCCTGCAAGGGGCTCAAATCGACCTCTCTGTCGAAGTGGCCATGCCGTCCCATCCAGTCGGAGCATCGCGCGGGAGAAACATGACATCTCCAAACATAACCCACATTTGCTGGAAGGGAGAACTAGACGGGAGGTGCCAATCCGCTCCAGTGACAACTGTGTCGTCGGAAGGTAATGCGGGTTCGAGCCGTGACGACTTGCGCGTTGGTTTCTGACACCGCGTGGATCGTTCAACCCTGAACGATCGCGGCCTTCCGATAGCTCTGATCGTTCGATGTCCGCCGACTCTGGGCCACTGGCGGCGGCCACTGGCGGCGGTCAGGACCACAGCAGGTCAGCGCCGCCGTACCAACGCGGCGCGGACCTGCTGTGGTGCTGCGATAGCTGCGGTTACCCGAAGCAGAACCTGCCCGTGCCGTCGGCTGTGCAGGTCAGCGCGGTAAGCAGCAGGGGCTCTCCTTAGCACGAGGAAAACGGATCCTGAGGGATACGGGTTCTGGACCCTGGTACCTTCCCCAGGACAAGCTTCTCATCCCGAGTCGTTTTCTGATAGTCTCGGCGCCCGTGGAGGGCCCGGGGAGGCGGAAACTGGCGAAAAGACTCGGGACCCGTTTCCCTGAGGATTCGTTTCCCCCATGGCGAGGCTCCACGCTATCGTTAAGTCGGGCCTGTCCCCCTACAGGCCGATTGTGGACGAAAGTTTTAACATACTCATAAGATACCCCAAACATGCACAAAAATGGTAGAAAAAACGTCCCCTGACTATTTTCTAACTATTTTTGAACATTCCCCCTGTAGAGGGACAAGCCCGACTTGACGCTACCGCGGCACTCCCTGGCCGGCTGCTGGACGGCGGCGACGACGAGGAGCGGCGCTGGCGTGGACTGGGACGCGCCCCCCCCCCAGGCGCACACGGCGGCGCGGGCTCGCTCGAATACACTGGAGGGTCGCGCACGTCGGGGCGGGGAGGGGAAGACAGGGAGGAGAGAGGAGGGGAGGCAGACGAGGACGAGGGGAAGACAGGGAAGACAGGGAGGCAGACGAGGACGGGGAGGGGAAGACAGGGAGGAGAGAGTGCAGGAAGGGGGGCGCCGGAGCCCTGGCCCTGAGGGTAGGAGAAGGACAGAAGGAGGCGAACGAGAGGAGGAAAAGGATGGAAGAGGGCCTCCTCCTCCTCCTCCTCCCGCTACTCCTCCTTCTCCTCCTCCTCGGAGTCAGGCTCGGCTTTACTCGATTTGACGAAGTGCTATGAGAACATCGCGCACGAGGCACTCGGCTGAGGCTGCTCACTCAGGGTTCCCCGATGTTCTACTTAGGGCGCTGTGTTGCGTGTACCGAGGGCCTCGTAGAGCCGTACTCCAGGGCTGCACCAGTGGGCCTCTGGAGGCCAATGGTACGGTGATTGCGGGGTGTTTTTGCGCCACCGCCTTGGCGAAGTTAATGCTTCTTTCCCTTCCCAGACAGGCAGATGCATCCGCGCCCATTGCGATGCTTAAGAATGTGATCGACGATGTCTCCCTCCACGCAGTCGGCAGCAGCGACATTGTTTTCTTTCCCCAGCAACGAAATCGCCTGAAGGTTCGAATCGATCGCACAGCCACACTTGGAGTCCGCTGCCCCTCAGGGGGGCTATCCTCCCAGACGCGCGCGACAAAGCAGCTGACAGCAGTGCAAAAAAGAAGGCGAAAACCTACAGTAGCCCCAGACTCGGGCAATGGGGGGAGGGGGAGGGGGAGGGGGAGGAGGGAGGAGGCACGGCGAGGGGGAGAGGAAAAGAGATGCTGTGTGGACATCCCCATTTGGCCTAGTCAGCCGAATAACTAAAATCACACACAGTGACCGTAGGAAAGGAGGAGGAAGAGAGGAGGAGGGAAAGGAGGAGGAAGAGGAAGAGGAAGGGATGTGCGTCCGTCCCTGAATTAAGACGTCAAGTCGTTGGGTTATGTGCCCCAGTGGCCTGCCCAGCCACAGCTCATAAATCCAACATAAAGCTACGCAGTGCGTCGGCAACTGGAGCCAAAACCACCGAATCGCAGTGCCCGAACCAAGTAATCAAGTACAGAATGAGGGCGAGCGGAGCTCAGCCAAGAAATCATCGAATAAAGCGAACTAGCAGAACAAACAGAGGCGGTCCCCAGACCAGCCTCCAGCGCAGACAGGGGCGTCGCGAAGACGCTCACCGCCGGCGAAAAGAGCAGGACCGCAGCGCTGCCAAGTCCGCGGGCAATGAGTGGAGGGCTAGCCCCGGCCAGGGGAGAGGGGAAGACAGAAGTGAACGCTAACGCCGACCGTCCATGCGGAGAAGTGAGGAGGGGGAACTGCCGCTACCGCAACCCATCGGCCACGCGGCCGGGACGGAGTTTGTTGGTCCAATGCGCCGCGGAAGTCATTGCACGGACTTGGTGCGCTGCCTCGTCGGAGTTTCCGCGGCAGTGCACGGCCAGATAAGCCCATGGACAATCACGGGAAGGAGCGGAAGGGAGGGGAGGAGGCAGAGAGGACGGGGGAGGAGGGGGGACAGCCGTGCCTGCAGACTATCGGCCACGCGGCCGGGACAGAGGCGATTGGAACGACGCGCCGTGGAAATCAAGTCGCGGATTTGGTGCGCGCTGCCTCGTCGGGTGTCCCTGTGGCAATGCACGGCTGATTAGACAGAGCGAACGGGCCGCGCGGGCATGCCGCTGCGCACCGCCCGATGCCGGACAAATCGGAATTCGGACCTCGGACCTCCAGTGGAAATTACATATACCAGCACGCACTGCAGATCTCAATGAAACGCCCGCGGTACAAATTTAAGTGCTTCGCTCCGTAGCTCATCTTGCGTAAAAAATATTTGCACGCACGCCGAGACAAGGGGGATGAGAGGGAGGGGAGAGAAGGGAGGAGGGATGGTCAAGCTGGGCGTCGCCTGCAACGACGCGCCAGGTGCCTGGCCACGAAACCTCAGTCGGCCCACACGGTGTCGAGGGCCCAGACGGCGCCTGCAGCAGCGACATTGTAGCTCGCGAGCTCCCCGAGGCCCTCAACACAGTGACCGAAGGGGCTGCGGCCAAAGCGTTGCCGAATTCCTGGGGCAAGGCGGCTGGCCAGTTCGACTGAGCTTGCAGTCCAGGTGTGCGAGTCATGGGACATGGACTGTAAGAACCGAGGCCAGTCGCACCGTGATCTAGGAGGGGACGCCACTGACGGCCGCTTCCGTCTCGCCCCCACCCACTACGACAGGAACCTTTGAGCCAATCGTCGAGCGCTTCGCCTGCGCACCCTGCAGGGCGGAGGAGCGAAGCTTTCTCAGGTCCACAGAGCAGGGCCTTCAGCTGTTGCGCTGTGGGGCTCTTGCGTGCACGGCGTGGTAGACACCCGTCTGCACAAGTTTCGGATCGTGGAAGTCCACGCGGAGGGCCGCTTGCCCAAAGGGGCATCACCACGCTCGATTGCATGAAGCAGTATGCTGAAGTGCTTTGGGCTGGCCAGCTGTCCCATCCAGTGCTCCAGGCCCTGTTCGAAGATGAACAGAGGCAGGCTGCCAAGGAGAGGCCATGGGTTTCATGCCGGGACCCTGTCGCCGCCCGCATCATCTCTGCTCAGCGGGTGGGGTGGAGGTTCTCTGGGCCTACTTGTGGTGGACGACCTGGGGCGGGAGTGGGATATCATGTGTTACTCCCCTGCCTGCGTTGCGGACCAGATCCAGCACGCAGCCAGGCGTGCTTCGGATGCGAGAGCCCCAGCGCTGTAGGACAGACAAGGATAGAGAGCGCCCCTTGTTTGGCGCCCTGTCCTCGAGGCGATGTGTTGTGACTGGGAGCCTGGCTGGGAGAAGCATCAGCAGATGGCTCTCAGAGGCTTGGTCTCGGGCACTGTTTGGATCCAGGGGCGACTTGTCGAACAGGATGCCGCGATTGCCCCTGAGTGCCCTCATTGCCGTGAGGCTCAAGGTTCCTTGCACCACAGATGCTATTATAGGTGCCCCGCCCATGAGGCGTGGCGCCGACATAAGATTTCACCCGAGCTCGAGCGTGCTGCCAGTGTCGTTGGTCAGGTCCCGAGTGTATGGGGGGAACGTTTCGCCAGAGGAGTCTGTCCCGATCTAGGTATGTGCGTGGCTCGCCCCGCTTTTGACCAGCAATGTGCGCTTAGGAGAGCAGCGGTCGAGCTCCCTTTCCTCCTCGAGGGGGGGTTTGCCTTCATGGACGGGTCGGGGCTCAACGGTCGATTCCCAACGCTGCGGACCGCAGGCTGGTCTTGTGTCTCTTTCTCGGAGGACAAAGTTTTTCTGGGAGCGATATACGGCGTGGTTCCTCCTGAGTTCTCGACCTCATTCTCGGCCCGCGACGGCGAGGACTATGCGATGATGATGCTAGCTCAGCGCGTCTTTGGGACTTACCACTTGTTTCGGACTGCAAAGCCACCCTTTCCTGCTGCACCAGCCAGCTGAGGGCCACCTCGGTGGCCAACCCGCACGCCCACATGTGGCGCCGTGTGCACGCGAGAGAAGACGTCGGGCAGAGGCGTTTCTCGCATGTGAAAAGCCATCGCAGTATGCGTCAGGTGCGGGATGTGCTGCTATCGCAGTTTGAGGTCAAACGAAACCAGGTGGCGGATCACTATGCTGAGGTAGGGGCCAGTTGCGGAGCTGCGTCGGAAGGAGATGTGTGGTTTCAGGTTGCCTGGAAGTCGCGTCCCAGGCGGCTAAGTTCAGTGCCAGGCTAGCCACCAGGATGGTTGACCTGGACATGCAGGACCATCAGGGGTTAGATGCCATCAGATGGATCGATTTCGGCACGATTGCCGACAACTGTGCTCCCTCCCACATCGACGAGGCCAACCGAGTCTGCGTCGAGGCCCCACTTCCACCCCTCGCCCCCCCGTCTCTTCCTTCTGCTGACCTTCATGGCGTCATTGCTGCTGCCCCGTCGGGTGGGAGTGTGGAGGCCGAGGGTGTCCAGGAGGCTGGGGACGTCGGTGATGCTGAGGTTTTGGAAGATGAGGGTTTTTTGGGGTTCGGGGAGCTCAAGCCATGGGCTCTGTCGGGCCTCTCGATTTTGGAAGCAGGGGTTCCAGGCAAAGATCCTCTCCTGGTGTGCACGACCTGCTATCGCTTTGAGGTTGGCACGAAGCAGAAGGGCCTCTGCAAGCATTGCGGAGGTCCCAAGAGGCTCAAAGGGGGCTCGCTCTACGCGGTTCGTAAGTGCCTGCGAGAACGGATCCACCCTCAGGACCCTGCGGTGGCTCTGGACGAGCCCAGGACCCCTCCAGAGGCCACTCGCAGGCGCTGGTCAGTGCATTTCGGGATCGATGTCGACAGCCGTGAGAGTAGCCATGGCCGCCTGCCGCCCTTTTCGCGGCGCACTGCCGCGCCACACCTCGAGCGCCAGGCCTGCCTGAGATCTGCGGAGTGCCCAGAGGCCCCTCAAAGAGGGATAATGGGAGGGGAACGTCCCGCGCAGCGGGACGCACGCTGGGGCAGGCAGAGGCGCTGGGCAGGCGCGGCAGGCTCCACCACAGGCGAAGTGAAGCTGAGAGACGAGCTGAACGGAGCCAGGAAGATGCAGACGCCACCCCACGCTCCCCGCCGCGACCTCCCAAGCCCAAGCTGAGCGAGCAGGAGACCGAGGCGAGGGCGACGCGGCTGCTGGAAGCGGCGGCGACGCCGAGAGGACTGGTCAGGCAGAGCCAGCTGAGGGAGCCCGACCAGCAGCTCAAGCAGTACGACACAGACTCCAGCCAGAGGAGACGAGAAGAAGCCAGGCAGGCGCTGGAGGCCGCAAGGGAGAGAGCGCGGTCCAGCCCAACGGCCACGCCAGCCAGGAGAGGCAGCCCGCCCAGGACCGAGGCGCTGCTGCCGCTGGCGACGCTGAGGCAGCTCCTGGCGGGCCCCACGCCGCCGCCCCAGCCGCCTGCGGGGGCGCGGCGACCCGCGCGGCGGCTCGCCCCGCCTGGAGCGCCCGCGGGCGAGCGGCTGGCCCAGGGGCCGCCACGCGCGAGGCTCGCCTCGCCCGCTGGAGGAGGGCCCTGCTGCGGGCTCGCGCAGCGGGCGCCGCGGGCGCGGCCCGACGCGCCCCCAGGCGCGGGGCCAGGCCGCCCGCGAGCCGCCGACGCCGCCGCCGCCTCGAAGACGCCCTGAGGTGGGCGGGCGGCGGTGCGGCGACCTTCGACCATGTCGTCAGGGGAATGTCCAGGGAATATCGTCATCCTTCATTTTCCTCCTGCTTATGTTCTTTATTTCTCCTCCTCGATTTTGTCCTCCAACTGCAGGCGTAAATTAATGGATCCATGATCGTCTCCTTCACCTAACTCTCAATCTAGCTCCCCCACCCTCGCCTCTTCTTGCCCACCCCAACCCCACCGCAACAGTTCCTTTCGCACACCGCCGCCGTCCCCTCCTGGTGTGGACGGATGGAGCCATGATCACCTCCAGCATCTTGAGCTGGTCCCGTGGTCCTCCTCCTCATCTTCGTCCTCCTTGCTCCACTCCTCTTCCGTCTTCTCATCATTCGCCTCCTCTGGCATGAAGAAAGAAGGGTCCTGAAGAAAAAGGACCCCTGGATCCCTGGCCTTCCTGGGGATCAGCGTCTCGCCTGACTCGTTTGGACGATTCTGGGGCCGGGGAAGAGCCCCTGGAGCCCGACGGCGGCGAACTGAGGACCCCTCTCCTCCAGGGCCCCTCCTCTTCATGGCGACTCCTGGCCCCCTCCGTGCACGGGGCGGATGGAGCCATGATCATCTCCCGCGTCTTGCCGGAGCCGGTGGGGTGGTCTACCAGGAGCCTGTCCAGCGGGCTTCGCGGATGAACCTCGCCGCCCCACCACAGAGACGAGCAAGCAAGGACAGCAAAGGGGATTTGCAGAGAATCGGGAACGACCAGCTCCCGAAGTGATGCAGTGGTTGGGCAGGAGGCCTCCAGAGTGACCCCGAGAGGCCTCTCAGAGACCTCTGGGAGGCCGCTGTGCAACGACGAACCAGCCAGGGTGGCGGCAAGGGTCGTAGGCCATCAGCTTACCACTCCCAATTCTCATACATCTGTAAACAGTCCTACAATAAAGGCCCGTACCACCATCTCCAGAACAAAGAATCATCAAACCAGAACGTCAGAACGGAGGGAAAGCGGACACCTTTGTGAGTGACGACGTTCTGCAGCAAATTAATGCAGAAGACAAACAGCACATACAAAAAATACAACTGCCGTCGTTGGTACGGCTGGGAAAAAAAAGAATGTAATAAAGGTCAGGGACATAACAACAGCCTGAATGTACAAAGCATTAACAGCGATGATACTAGTAGAGATGTTGGTCATGCTGGTGGTCGTAGTGGTGATGGTGATGGAGACGGCACCATTATGCGACGACGATGGCGGTGACGAAAACGGTGACAACAGTACGGATGATGGTGGCACCTAGTCGAAGACAAAAGCACTACATGCTGGAGCGTCCGATGACTAGGCATAGAGCCTGCCCTCGACCCTCTCACTGAGGTGAATCGGCCTCGGGCAATTCACGCGATCGCCGTTCCTCAAAAGCAATCCGCCGGGAAGAGGAGATCCCATTACTCCGAGGCCGAAATGTTATGGTAGCTTCTGAGCTTTTTGAGGGCCTCCCGCACCTGGGGAAAACAAACGGTGCCTATGTCGCTACTCCACAGATCTCTTCTGGAGTGCGGTCTGACCAGAGTTTTGAAGCGAACCCAGCGGTGGCGGCGGGGGCCCCCCAGGAGGCTCAGGAGGACGGAAACGAGGCCAGGGTACTGGTCCCTGTACCGGTTCCTTCCCTGAGCACGTTCGCCTTGCGCGCCTTTTGTGCGTCACTGCACAGCACAGGCCCTCGTGCCGGCCGCTCTTGAGCCCTACCGTATTGGCGTGCCGGCCAAAACCCACTGCCGCCTCTCGATATCCCTGAAGCGAATCGGGAGGTCCCCGTCCTCATCGATCTCTCGTATCTCGCCCTCGTGGCCTTTCTTGAGCTCGACGCCCTGCCTGGAATCGGTGGTCATGTCCTCGAGGGCGATGACGCGATCGCCCACCTGGAACTCGACGATCAGCTCGTCGGACAGCGGCTCCAGCAGCCAGCTGAAGCCCAGCATCTCCGAGGAGTGCTTGCTTGCGCGGTACCAGGTCCAGGCACGCTGTCACACCTCGGCCTTCGCGATGTTGGTGCAGAGCTCACGCACCCGCTCGTCGCGGTTGGGCCACTCTGGCCTCAGCATCACCAATTTGGCGGCTTCCCAGCGAGGTCGGCGGGAAATTCCTCGCAGGCTGCCAGCGCGAGCACAATCGGCCTCAGGCACGCCGCCGTGGTGCCCCTGAAGAGCACAAGCAGCAGCCCCACGGCTCCCTCCACGGTCGCCCGTGAGCCCTCGCGCACGGCCGCGCGGAAGTGCTCCACGGCCCGCTCTAACCGCGGCCCGTCGTCGCCTTCCCCGCAACCATCGGAAAAGTCCATCTCGTTCAGCATGGCCTCCGCCTCGCACAGCGCCTGCTCCGCGACGACCTCCTCCTCCTCGGAGAGCTCCTCCAGAGGGGGCGGCACCCGCAGGGATCCGGCGTCCACGGAGAGCCCCTCCCACTCCACGCCGCCCCTCGGCGCGCCCGGCGGCGCGTCCGGGAAACGCGCCTCGGGCGGCGGCTCCAGCTCCGGCATCTCGGGGTCCGTGGCGTCGGACCCCTCGTCCACCTCGCGGCTTGCTAGCAGGTCGCGTGCAAGTCCCCCCCAAGTCTCGATGGCTGAGCGCTCGGCGCGGTCTGGCGCGCGCCCTGGCGCCCGCGGCCCGCCTGGCGTGCAGGGCTGCTGCCTCGTGCACCTGCTGACCCCCGCAGGGGAGCTGCCCCCGGTCGCGCAACCACGCGCGGCTTCACGCCCCGGGCCTTCGCCACCGCCTCGCCCCACAGCGCCGCCTCCGCCTCCAGGGCGCAGCGGCGGGGCAGGACGCCGCCCCACCGGGCCTCGCCGACGATGAGGTCCTCCAGCAGCGCCGTCCGCGCGAGCAGGGGCAGGTGGGGCAGCATCGACGCTCTCGCGGGAGCTGGCGACGTGGCTCCGTCCAGCAGAGGGCGGGCAGACCGAGCCTCGGGGCGTGTCCGGGCGGCGAGCCGTGGCCCCGCTCGGGGGACAGACCGCCCGCGCCCTGGGCGGGCGAGTGCGCAGAGCAGGGGGCCGCGGACGCCCCTGGCCCAGTTCGCGCGGGCCCCGGCCCATGGACACACGACGGAAGGAGCGCGAGCGGCGGCGGGCGGCGGCGACGTCAAAAGAATGGTTGCTGCTGGTTGCTGCCACTCACGGCGGATTGCTGGCTGCTGCTGCTGCTGCTGCCGCTGCTGACGCTGGCCTGGCAGCTCGAAACCACTGCGAAGGAAGCAGGAAGAAGAGGAAGACAAGGAGAGCACGCAAGAGGCTGAATCCCATATACCCCCTTCCCCCCGATGCTCCTTCTCCGCGGCAGTCCTAGCGGCCACGGCGTTGGGACCGCGCGCGGCCTTTGCGCCCTCACGCTGCGCCGGGGACCCTATAGCAAGCCAAGGGTCAGGGAAAGTGGGATGACAAACGAAGTGAGCGGCAGGCAGAGGATAGCGCGTGCAACTATATGTGGAACTCGACAGACTAGTAGAAGCATGCTCATGAAACCTATAGCCAGTGATCGCAGGCTCTCTACAATCAAAGAGCCTACTTCATATTTGATTTCGATTTCAAGCTGCACATACGTTGGCACAAGATCTGAGAAAATAGGAGAGGTACAGATGCAATATGCTGCTGCTGCTGCTGCTGCTGCTGCCGCGCCCGCCCTGAAACGAAGGCAACAGCAACAATAATCGCATGGCTAGCCAGAAGCGCCATCGGGCTGCCCATCCATTCTGGGCAGAACGGGAGTAGGTAGAGTAAATATGCAAAAAGATCTGTGCACGCTCCAACTGGAAGCCAGGCAATGCCTATCGGGCGTGCTATGCGGCGCAATCATCTGCGCAGGAATCTGGCTATCATTCGGAACATCGTCATATTAGCTATTGGTTGCGAAACTCCCTGGTGATCTGAAATACCTTTGATGTTTTGTCACGCCCCGTTGTGGTCGACAGCTGGTTCTTCTCAAGGATCGCATCGAGTCTAGCCCGGGTGACGTCTGTCTCCCTAACGAAAGTCTCGACCCAACTGTTCTCATCATCCACCGGCCAGCCGGACATGTCTGCGTTCGAGAGCATCTTTTTCTGGGGATCTCAGGGTGCACCGCGTTACTGGCCTCCTCGACCACTGGAGCTTCACCCGGCATGATCACCGCGGTCATGGAAGGTCCGCGTGAGGGGCCTGCAGAGCCTGATGTCTTGTTCGCCTCGCTGTCCATGATGTTCTTCGCAAGCGCGCGCATCTCGCTGAGGAACCCCATCCTCTGGCCCGTGGGCACCTGGCGCCATACCTTGCGGAGGGCCTCGATATTGACCTTCTCAGGATGCTTGTTCCATGACATCAGGAGCTTCACCACCGCGCGCTTCTGGTCATTCAGCTTGTTGCCACTACCACATAGTTGTTCAAAGTGGTCATCATCGTCATGACTCACGTCAGCGTCCATGTTATCATTGCCAGAGGCCTTCATCATGCCCCGTAGCATCTGGATCGCCTGCTTGATCTTTCTGTGCGGCCTCTCCTCGTCATGCTTCTTATTCTTCTTGAGGAAGTGCTTCTTGATCCTGCCGAGGCCCATGTTGCCACCGCACTCGCCACTGCTGCTGCTGCCCCCATGCCACGCCCGCGCCACCCCCCGACGAGGAACCCGAGAGCGCGGGCTCCAGGATCCGCTTGCCCGCCAACCTGAGGAAGCTAAACGGTCTCTGCTTGTCCTTTTTCTTCACCTCGTGCCTGCCCCTGTCCACCGAGCCTTTCAAGCCGCGCATCCCTGCGACCGTGCCCATCGCCACCCGGCGGCACGTCCTCTCGGCCTGCTTCTGCCGTTTCTTCTCCTCGCGCGCCCAGAAGATCTGGCTCATCGCCTCTGCTGCATCCAGTCCAGCATGCGCCCTGGCCGCTCGGGGGGCATGACCATGCTGCCGCGGTGGCTGCCATGATAACGATGCTGCTCGCCCCTCTCCGCGCCCCCGATGCTGGCCCCGACATCCCCACCGCGCCCATTGCGCGGCTACTGCTGCAAAACAGGTGGGCCGAGGGTCACCGCCGCGCGAGGGCGCCGGGCACTGCCTGGAATGCTCGAGCCAAGCACGGCTACGGCGAGGGGGCACCGTGAAGGAGTGAGGCATACAGGATTGACAGACCGTCTGAGAGCGCGCGCCCCCAAGCCTCAACATCCTCGGGAATCGCCTGGAGGTCTCCCGAGCTGTGACGGAGCTTTCTCCCCAAGCGTCGCAGGGCGGTGATATAGGCCGAGGCGCGCCGTCGCGGGATCGAGCACACTGCTTCGCCCACGAGTCTGATGGGCCATACACGGGAAATCAGTTCAACAATAATGCGCACCGTAGCTGTTTGGGCCCGTTTAGGATTACCTTCACACATTGCACTGAAGGCAACAAACCGCCCCCAAAGCCTCGAGATGAGGAAAAGTTCAGGGGCGTTCGTGGGACACGAATGAAAGGCAGGGAACTTCGCGTACTTAGGGCGCGTGGCCTCTCCTCCTGCATACTCATGGCTTGCGGCAGCTGCATGCAACTGAAAGTCAGTTGATACACTAGAGATTGCACGAGAAATGGCATGGGCTCTTTCCTGGGGGACAATCTGGACGTGGAGTAAGGTGAGAGGGAGAGCATCACCCTCCAGGGTGAATCCGACGTCCCGCGGGAAGAGGCGGCGAATCGAGCGAAAGAGGCAGCGGCTACACATGATCCTGGACATGGTGAGGCGATCATCCACATGCAACAGGCCCTGGATGGCACCCTCGGATGAGGATGCTCTTGTACGCCAGGCCAACCTGGGCCGCGAAACGTCTATAATGACTTAACTGATGCATGCAATGTCCCAGGTCTGCAAGTGTGGCAGGTTCTGAGAGCGGGGCTCCCATGGCCCATCCTTTAGCACGCTCCAAAACACAGGAACCAACACAAAAGAATGTGTCACATTTTACCTATGTAACAGCTTTGCGAATGCCTGTGGAGCTAAAACAATCATATATGGGTCTCATATACTCTCCAGGGGTGACCAAATATCCTGACGCTTTTCTGTCGCGCTTCATCGCGACACCAGTGGCCCCACATGAGGCCGTGGTTCTATCAAGCAGGTTACGGATACATTGGGCCCCGCGGTCATAGCTCGCATCCAGGAAAAATTGCGAGGCGTCAGCCTTGCAAAAGGATGGCAGTTTTATTGCATTTGCATCTACAACATGCGTACTCAAAACGCGGGATATACTCAAACCTGGCAGCATTTGCTCTAATGAGGCGAGGTACATCACTGCGTGCCCAGATCGTCCAGGTGGTGCCCTTATTAAGTCTCTTAATCAAACGGATGGCCCACGCAGCACGGTTGCGGAACTTTTTTGGGTAGCTCGGACTCCACTGGCAATCTCTCGGACATGCGCATGTTGTTTCGAGGACGTGAGGGATCCATCGGAAAGAGAGAAACACACGCCTTCAAAAGTAATATAGACACTCGGAAGGTCATCTGGCTCAGCCTGTCGGGGGTTGCGCCATCTTTTCAGTACAGTCTGGGCATCTCGCGTTCTCTGGACTTTTGCCTGATGCTTCCGACTTGTCTCTGGTCCAAAACGATAACGCTCAGTGTCAGGGAGAATCGTGTTGCCGAGAAGCCAGAGGTACGACTGCCACTGAGACCCTGCCCTCCCGCGCATGTCGTTGTCCACCCCGACCCACGCAACGGTGGGGAGTAACGTGAACAAATGACCCCGCGCAACCGCAGGCGGGGCCTCGGGCTCGAAAGCAGGGGAGGGAAGGGTGAAGCGACGTGCTGAGCAGAACCTCTGACGTGTGTGCGCACTCTCAGGTAACGGGGAAGTTAACTGATACGATGAATGGTGTGAACGAAGCTGACTATACAGTTCTTCTCCAGTATCTGATACGTTAGGCATTTATGGGACGCTCCGATATGCGTCATTCCAAACAAGATGGCGCTTTCGGTAGCCGTCGGTGGCTGGGCCCTCCCGAATCTGCTGATGTAGAGCAAGCGAAAACTTGTTAGCGAGCGTGCTATGCATGGTGATTGGGTCACTAAACCTAGGGACCGCTGCGATGCATATTCCGATCTTTGCTCGCAGACACTGGGAGAGAAGAGGGTTGTCCGAACAAACCTGGCGTAAGTAAGTGTACACTGCGTGACGTGCATGTTGCAACACATGTGGATGGCTTTGTGAGATAAATAAGATGTAGCAACGTTTCGATATGATACCCCCTGCGTGCATGAACCTGTCATTGTTAGGCTGAGCAGTTGTTTGCTGTTCTTGGGGCAATTTACACGCAGGGGACCATACAAGAAGACAACGTCTGGGTAAGTCTGCATGTCGCCACATACGTCGATAGTCCAACGGTCGAGCCACGCGCTCTCTGACCTGATCACGCCTTTGAAGAGGGGTCTGTGTGGGAGGTCGAAGCAATTCAATGCAAAGCGCCTCAAGTCGCAATACTTTATTCCCCTCCAAAAGCAACTGGCATACAGCAGAATGCCCATGGGGCACTACTACCCCATGTCTTGTAGCGTGGCCGATGCAGTTGCGAGTCTTCGCGCCTGTGCGATGCGCCGTAGTGCTCGCGAAACCGCGCCACGACCCCAATCCAGGGCACCTTGTTGACGTGACGGCGTGCTGACGCCTTGCCAATGTACCAGCAGCCAGTCCCTGTGGACATGGCCAGGTATAGGCAGGCGCACGGTGCATTCTCATGTGTCGGATCCCATATCGTCTGATGTAGATGTGCAAAGTAGGATTCCGAGAAGGCTGTTTGGAATTGGTTCGTGAGCAGTGTAGCCTGCAATGCCGGCTTTCATGCTCGTAACATGACCTTAATGAAGGGCTTGAAATTCCGTTGGGCGTGCACAAAGTAGAAGGCCTGCATGGCGCCGAGTGAGAAGAACACGTTCCAACATTCTCTGTTGGCGCGTCCTTTGGCAAGCCAGGCTGACAGAACACATCTGGCGTTGCGTATCTTATCATATGTTTCGTGTTCTGGAAATCCACGTGCTGCCCATTCGGAGGCATATACGGTGACCCTCTTGCTTGCTGACTCAAGGCTGCCAAGTATTGGCAGCCCAAGGTGTTTGACGAGGTGTCCCACAAGCACGTTGGCCCGAAGTGATTGTAGTTATCTCTCCAACCGATGTGTGGGAGAGAGTGTATAACAAGGGAGGCTCGCCAAGTAACAGGGTCCCACTCTGGGTGGGTCTCCACCATCCTCGTGAGTACAGTGTTCTAGAGATAACGTGATGTCTTCGCTGTAACCACCCCTGCCTTAAAGGAGAAACCAAGGGGTGTGCTGCTGGTGTGGTAGCTCGAAACCACTGCGAAGGAAGCAGGAAGAAGAGGGAGACAAGGAGAGCATGCAAGAGGCTGAATCCCATATACCCCGTTACCCCCGATGCTCCTTCTCCGCGGCGGTCCTGGCGGTCACGGCGTCGGGACCGTGTGCGGCAGTTACGCCCTCATGCTGCGCCTTGGACCCTATAGCAAGCCAAGGGTAAGGGAAAGTACGATGAGAAACGAGATGAGCGGCAGGCAGGGGGTAGTGTATACAATTATCTGTGCAACTCGACATTATAATAGAAGCATGCTCGTGAAACCTATAGCCACTGATCGCAGGCCCTCTAAGAATCAAGGAGTCTACTTCATACGTATGTGGTGTCGGCTCCTAGCTGCACACGTAGGGGAGGTACAGATACCATATGCTGCTGCTGCTGCTGCTGCTTGCTCCTCCTCACTGCTTCTGCCATTTGCTGACATAGGCTGCCGCGTGATTCCAATTAGTGACGCGTGCTGTTGGTTGCGCCTGGTGCATTATGCTTGCTACTATATGATGTTGCGTGCTGCGCGGTACCTGATCAACGATTAATGGTTGCTGCTAGTGGCAGCTGCATGATGGTTGTTACGTCTGGTTGCTGCTGATTGCTGGGGGTTGCTGATGCTGTGCCTTGTGCTGACCTTGTTGTTTGATGCCTGGGCGAGTTGCTGATTATTGTTTTTACTAGCGGGTGGTGCCTCCTGCTGCACGCTACAATGTGCTGCCCCCTTCTGCTACATGCTGCATCTGCTGTTGCTTGCTGCTGCTAATTGCCGTGTGCTGCGGCGTGCTCCCGCGTGCTGCCGCCCGCTGCCACGCGCTGCCGCTTGCCGCTGGTTGCGGCCGATTGCTTCTGCTTGGCGCTGCTTACACCATGACGCGGCTTGCTGCTTGGCGCTGCTTGTGATGCTGCCTGCTGCTGCTTGGTGCTGGGTGATGTTGTTTGCTGCTGTTGCTGCTGCTGCTGCTGCGGCAGCTGTTGCTGCTGTTTGCGGATGCTTACTGGTGCCTAGGTATGCCTTGCGCTGTTTGTGGATGCGGGCTGGTGTCTGCGGCAGCGTTTTGCTGGTTGTTGCTGCTCGCTGCTTGTTGCTGCGTTGCTGCTGGTTGCTTCTGGTTACTGCTGTTCTATGCCGCTGGATCTCGACGGTGGCTGCTGGCTCTGCTGCTGAGGCTAGCGTTGCTGCTGCATGGTCTCGGGAAACCGGCATACGGTCACTAGTGGGGCACCCTGGGCCATCCTGATAGGCATCTTGGAACCTATCGGGTTGTCTTTGGAACCTCTTGCGAGCCTGGGCATCGTGGGCCCCCTCTTGGGTCCTTCTGGGTGGACTGTGGCACATCGTCGGGCTGTCTCTTGGGCCATCGTGAAGCCCTCTTGGGCCCACTAGGAACAAAGCAGTCTTGGGGGACTCTGGGGGGGCCGTTCTGCGACCGTCTTAAGGCCTGGTGGACCACCTGGGCGACGAGAACAAACGGGTCTCACGCGAGATGGCATAACGACCTTACGCGGTGGCTTACGCGGGCCGCCAGCGTGGCATACGGCGTGAGGAAGAGGGCGCTTACGCGTGACCTTACGGGGGCAGTTTACGCGCTCATGTTGGCGCAGTCGATCCCGTTTTATTCCGTCGCTCACCTGGAGCCGCCTTGGGGCCCCCACTGGGGGCGTCCTGGGCCGTCTTGGGCCTCCTAGTGGACTGACTTGGGCCCTTCCTGGAGATCTTGGGAGCTTTGCCCGGCGCTCGCGGGCTGTCTTGAGGCCAGCTGTAGGCACCCTGGGGAAGCCTGAGAAGCAGAGAGCCTTGAGCCATGCGTGCTTCGATGATCTTGACCTTCTGCTGCCCTCTGCAGCTCGTGGTTACACATGATTTGCACGAGTTGCTGCAGGTGTGCGAGTGCGCGTGCATGCATTATTGCGTAAGTGCGTTGGGAACCGTAGCCACCGAGGCTCGAATCTAGAAGTCGCAAGACACGTCCTAGAGGCAGGCGGAGAAATTGCGCAATCACATATTGAGAGCTCTTTGGTATCATCGTGGTGCCTCCCCTCAGGGCATCTAGTGTATGTGTTGGAGCCTGTCGGGGTTCCGTGGGCCGAATTTGAAGACTCTTGAGCCGCCGTCGCGGCCTCCTGGTGGGTTGCAGCGTGAACAGCAAATCCCAGCTGGGAGCTCAGGCATCGAGCGCCAGGCGAGATGTGATGCAGACGATGTTTCCCCTTCGAGCGCCAGCTTATCGAACACTGCAACAGTTTTTGTCTCCTGCGCCTGTGTGGCATGTCACTGTGCATTTGGACTGCGAAGTACGCTACGCCAGCCTGGTTATAATTGAATATTGTTAGCGAGAAAGAAGAGCACGACCTTTGCAACTCACGAAGGTCCAGCTCGTAGAACCGAGTACCACCAGAAAACCCGTACACGCCACACCAGTCAATCTGCCACCAGCGAGCTCATGCTATGAATTTCCAGCTGGGAGACCAGGTCGGGCGCGGCGAACCGCCAGCATGTATGCTCCGAGGCCCGCACAGCCAGTGATGCCTCGCACAAAAGCGCAGAGGGGAGGGCACGAAATACACAGGGACAGGAGGAGGAGGAGGGGGAAGGCGCCCCGGGGGGAAGGGCAGAAGGGGCCGGCCTTCCAAGAAGGCTCAGAAATTCTCCGGCCTTCTGAGATGCTCTCTGAGCCTTCTCCGAAGTCCATCCGCCTTCTGAGAAGGCCGGCCCCCTCTGCCCACACCCTGGGCGCGCCGCCGTGAGATGGCGTCGTGGCGGAGACGCAGACTCTACGTGCCTGACTGGTGCAGTCCCACCAATTGGGCAAAATCTGCCTCGTTCGTTGCACGCGATCTTCCCAGCAAGGACGGATGGCTCACCAAAGGAGATCACGCCCCTCGGGTGCGATCCCACTACTCAGAGGCCGAAACGCTCTGGTAGCTTTTGAGCTTCCTGAGGGTCTCCCGCACCTGGGGAAACCAACAGGTACCGATAATGTTACTCCCCAGACCTCTCCTGGTGTGCGGTCTGATCAGAATTTCGGAGCGAATCCGGAGGGTGCGACGAGGGCTCCCCAGGAGGCCCAGGAGACCGGAAACGAGGCCAGGGTACAGGTGTCGGTACCTTTTCGTCCCCTGAGCACCTTCGCCCTGCGCGCCTTCTGTGCCAGGAGCTCGTCCTGGGACACCCTCTGCAGCGCGGGCATGCCCACCCGGCCAGCGTAGCTCATGAGCAGCTGCCTGGCAGAGGCCGCACACAGCGGCGGCCCTCCCGCGTCGTCGCAGAGGAGCGTCACTGCACAGCACAGGCCCTCGTGCCGGCCGCTCTTGAGCCCCAGCCTGTCCAGAGGATCGGCGGCGCGCCGAGGCTTCGATGCTCGAGGTCTTCGGGCGCTGTCGTAGGTTCTCGGCGGCGGTTTTCCAGCCTCGGGGTACTCTCCGGTAGCTGCGCCTTGCCGACAGCGTTCCAGGGGCGCCCAGATCGTCCCGAACGGCCGCCGGAGGCCCGAGTTATGACCCGAGAATTACTGCCGAAAGTATGATCAAGAAAATGATCAGTTAAGAAGCCTCGGCCACCGTCCCAGAAGTTTCTTGAAGCAAGCCTGGGCCAAGTTCTGTCGTTGACGCTGGAGGGGCGAAACGTGCTCAAGAAATAGGGCCAGCTTTCTGGCAAGTTGGTTGAGAGTCGCTGGCCCAGCTGCTCCGAAGGAGGTTTCTGAATCAGGTATGCCCGACTGTAGAAAACGCAGATCTTTGAGGGGGGCTGGCCTGTCCACGTGCCTGGCAAACACCCACTGCCGCTTCTCAACGTCCCTGAAGCGGATCGAGAGGTCCCCGTCCTCATCGATCTCTCGTATCTCGCCCTCGTGGCCCTTCTTGAGCTCGACGCCCTGCCTGGAATCGGTGGTCATGTCCTCGAGGGCGATGACACGATCGCCCACCTGGAACTCGACGATCAGCTCGTCGGACAGCGGCTCCAGCAGCCAGCTGAAGCCCAGCATCTCCGAGGAATGCTTGCGCGGTACCAGGTCCAGGCACGCTGTCACGACCTCGAGAGAGCTGGCCTTCGCGATATTGGCGCAGAGCTCACGCACCCGCTCGTCGCGGTTGGGCCACTCTGGCCTCAGCATCACCAATTTGGCGGCCTTGCCAGCGAGGTCGGCGGGAAATTCCTCGCAGGCTGCCAGTGCGTGCACGATCGGCCTCAGGCACGCCGCCGTGGTGCCCCTGAAGAGCACAAGCAGCAGCCCCACGGCTCCCTCCACGGTCGCCCGTGAGCCCTCGCGCACGGCCGCGCGGATGTGCTCCACGGCCCGCTCTAACAGCGGCCCGTCGTCGCCCTCCCCGCAGCCATCGGAAAGGTCCATCTCGTTCAACATGGCCTCCGCCTCGCACAGCGCCTGCTCCGCGGCGACCTCCTCCTCGGAGAGCTCCTCCAGAGGGGGCGGCACCCGCAGGGATCCGGCGTCCATGGAGAGCCCCTCCCACTCCACGCCGCCCCTTGGCGTGCCCGGCGGCGTGTCCGGGAAACGCACCACGGGCAGCGGCTCCAGCTCCGGCATCTCGGGGTCCGTGGCGTCGGACCCCTCGTCCACCTCGCGGCTTGCTAGCAGGTCGCGTGCAAGTTCCCCCCAAGTCTCGATGGCTGAGCGCTCGGCGCGGTCTGGCGCGCGCCCTGGCGCCCGCGGCACGGGCACGGCCAGCCTAGGCACCTCGGGCGCCGCGGCCGCCGCCCGCCCGGCGTGCAGGGCTGCTGCCTCGCGCGCCTGCTGACCCCCGCAGGGGAGCTGCCCCCGGTCGCGCAAGATTCCCTCGATGGCCTCCATGCGCGGCTTCACGCCCTGGGCCTTCGCCACCGCCTCGCCCCACAGCGCCACCTCCGCCTCCAGGGCGCAGAGGCGGGGCAGGATGCCGCCCCGCCGGACCTCGTCGACGATGAGGTCCTCGAGAAGCGCAATCCGAGCGAGCAGGGGCAGGTGGGCCAGCATCGCCACCGGCATCGCTGTGGGCTCCTCGGTCATGGCTCTGTCCAGCAGTGGGGGCGCCGGCGGGTGGGCGGCGTCCGCAGGGGGGCGACGAGGCGCCGGCCTTGGCCACTCGGGCCCAGTCCATAGGCGCGCGGCGCCGGGGAGGCGCGCCGATGGGGGGAGGCGACGAGCGCAAACGGCAGCGGGCAACGGTGACGTGAAAGGCGCGATGTGGACGAGCTCGGAGGTGGCGACGATCGAGCTGGCGATGATGCCTGCGACCATCGGGCCCAGCTGACGACGACGACGACGACGACGACGACGACGACGACGACGACGACGACGACGACGACGACGACTCTTATCAGCAAGGGGCCATGACATCTCATGTCTCCTGCTGTGGTGTACAGATGTGCACTTGAGACCCGCTGCCTGGGAAAAAGTAAACCATTACCTCGTATGGAGCGTGCGGGCGCAGTGCTCACTCACGACGGCGACCGCAGTGGCCGCACCAACGATGGTGGTGGCGGCGGCCCCGACCGCGACGGTGGCTCGACGACGGCGGCAGCAGCCGATGTGACACACCTTGCCGAGGGTGCCCGAGGTGGATATCACGGCGCCGACCTCAGCTCAAGAGGCCATGGGCTTCATCTCACACCTATTTGTCCCTGAAAAGGCGGAAGCCCAGGGCGCTCTCCAGTTGGTAAACCTGTCCCTGCTGCCATGTTCGGGGTGGGCCAACGAACATGTTTCCTCACTGAAAAACTGGGAACAGCTTCATTTACAAGAAGCGTTTTGCGCGTGCCCGCTCCAGGGAAATGCGCCCGAGGTCGGATCCTCGATAAAATTATAACGGAATCTGCAGACCCCTCCTCTCCCTCGGAAACACGGGTGCGGAACGTTCTCCGCTGAGGCCATGTAAGGGGTGCATTGAAATTCGCACTAAAGTTGGAGAAGAAACAAAAGAGGTGCACATATATACACATACATACATGCATACATACATACATACATACATACATACATACATACATACATACATACATACATACATACATACATACATACATACATACATACATACATACATACATACATACATACATACATACATACATACATACATACATACATACATACATACATATGCATACATACATAGATACATACATACATGCATACATACATACATACAGACAGACATACCTACCTGCCTACCTACCTACCTACCTACCTACCTACCTACCTACCTACATACATACATACAGACAGACAGACAGACAGACAGACAGACATACATACATACATACATGTTGTGCGTGCCCGCTCGAAGATGGCGCGCCCCGCGCTCTGAGAGTCCTTCGCACCTAGCGTGCCCTGGGAACTGGAGTCCTGTGTGTGTCGCAGAGGATCGTGGCCATGGGAGCGCCGGCGCAGCGCAATTTACGAGGGATCGTGGTCGTGAAAACGCGGACGCAGCACAGTTTGCAAGGGGTCGTGGTCATGGGAGCGCGGACGTAGTGTAATTGACCAAGGATCGTGCGCTCTGGAGCGCGGACGCAGCGAAGTTTACCAGGGATCGTGGCCCTGGGAGCGCCGTTCCAAATCCGTTGCCGTTTTGGCTCAAGGTTTTGGCTGTCCCCGACAGTGAAACGGATACCGCTAGTCCGCGGCTTGCTTCCGATCTTACGCTCGGCCTGTCTGCCCAGGCTGCGAGCTTCCCTTCCGAATCCGATCGGGCTCGCACCTCCGACGGTCTCACATTGTGTCGATGGGATTGCACAATGGCGGCAGCAGAGACGACCGACACCAGAGGTGGAAGTGCAGGTTCTGTGTCCACAAGCCCACTGGCTTGCCGTGGATCAACGGGGCTGAGAAGTCGGAGTGCACCTGGTGCAAGACTTGCAAGGCCGCGGCTTCAAGGAAAATGTGCAGCAGAAGGCGCCCTCGATCTCTGCGAAGCAGCAGAAAGGGGGCGCTGCGAGTCAGGCTACGGAGATTGAGAGAATCACCAAGCGGATGGAGATACGCATGCAGCAGATGCAGGCTGCTTTCGACAGGGAGCGAGAGTCTTGGAAGCGTAGCTCGGCTCAGGCCCAGGCTACAGTTGTCGAAGAGGAAGGCGGCTCCCAGGCGGGGGCGAAGAAGCAGAGGCTCACTGAGATCGACGGCATTCTCGAGTGCACGGGTGATGATGTATCGGAGAGTGCCCAGGCCTCTCGAGCGGCATTGCAGGTGGAGCACGCTGGCATCCTGGCGGAGCTGCGTGGAGCGCAGCCAGTCTCGGTGCAGCTCAATGGCCTCAACGAGAAGCTGGGGCGGGTCAAGGCGCGCATCGAGAAGGCCGAGGCTGCGGTCGCGGCCAAGACGAAGCAGATTGCTGCGCTTCAGGCCGAGATCGAGAAGGAGAATGTGCAGCTTGACCAGCATCGCAAGGATGTGCTGGAGGTCGAGCAGACAATTCGGGAGGTGAGTTCGATCAGTGCCAAACCGCCTTCGAAGAGGACAGAGGACAGCGCGCAACTGCGCGACGTTGAGGTCGCCCTCACGGACCTGGAGGGGATCTTGCGAGCTGCTGGCGGCGGCGAGCTGGTCGAGTCCTTGCCAAAGGCGCACCACGGCAGGCCCACCGAGATGGCGGCGAAGAAGGCTCGCACTGAAGAGCCTGAAGGGAGCGAGCCAGCTGCAGCCGCAGCCCCGCCAGACAACTCCGAGGCCACCAAGCCGCTGGAGGCTGTCAAGGCCTTCATTCTGGCGGCAGGTCACAACGTCCCTGAAGCGGAAGACGAAGCGCGGCAGCTAGCCAAGCAGATCAGGCAAGCTACCAGGGCGTTCTCTCCGTACTAGTGGCTGGATGTACTTCCAAGAGGGGTTGGTCTTTTCCAGATCATGACGATGGTGTGTGCTACGTCTGCAGGTGGCGTCTCGGGAGAGGAGTTGGCGTTGCGCGCTGACGCGGCTCCGCTTGTCCCGAGAACGATGCTGGATGAGAGCGATGTCGACCCGCTTGTGTTCCTGGACTGGGGCGCGGACGACGAACTAGGAGCGGATCTTGGTTCGGGCCTCGCTAATGACGGTGCTACAGAATGCACCTCCCCATATGGTCAGGGATGTGTCTCCCTTGGGCTGGGGTCAGCGGCACGTCGAATGGCGCCGACGGTTACCTCCCCAGATGGCCAGGGGCGTTCTTCCCCTGGGCTGGGGGCAGCTGCGAGTCGAGTGGTGGCGTCGGCTATTTCCCCAGATGGCCAAGGATGTGTCTCCCCTGGGCTGGGGACAACGGCATGTCAGATGGCGACTACGGCTACTTCCTAGGATGGCCAGGGATGCTTCTCCCCTGGGCTGGGGACACCGGCAGGTCCGATGGCGGCGTCGGCCACCTCCCCAAATGACCAGGGACGTGTCTCCCCTGAGCTGGGGACACTGGCAGGTCGGAGTGCGTCCTCGGCTGGCGCTAGAGAGCAAAGTCCGAATGTGCCGTCGCGGCTACTAGGCTCCGTCGCCACGGGCGTCAGGACGCAAAGACCTGGCGCGCCATCGCGGCTACCAGGCAATGAGTCGCCACGCGGGCCAGTGTGTCCAGATGCTGCTCAGGTACCTGGCGAGGCGGTAGAGGATGCGGCAGTCGCGAGGCCCGTGGGCCCTCCGAGTGCCGCGAGCCCCTTCGCTGGGGCTGCCGTCGGCGCGAGGAGCGGAGAGCGCGTCGCTGCTGGTGGGGCAGCGCGGGAGCGGTCCGACTGCCACGAGGGACGGCGCGCTGGCCAGGTGGAGGTAGGGGCGCAGCTCTCTGAGCACCCCAAAGCGCCCCCCCCCAAGGAAGGCACAGCCGCGCGACCGTTCCACGCGCGATTCGCCAAGTGCCGCCGCTCGCGACAAGAGGGGTCTCCGACAGCGCGAGGCTCACTAGACTGACAAGCGCAAGGGATGCTTCGCCACGGTCAACTCCACCTCCTACGGGCCCTTGTGCGACTACATGGGTGGCATGCCTGGGCACGCCATTGCTGCTGTGCCAGAGCACCGCGCCACGGTGGACAAGTTGGACAGAGTGCAGTCCCCGTCTCCGCGACGTTGGCTATCATGGCATCTGGGCGCCTGCTATTTCCACCAGCAATGGATCAGGCACGCCCGCGGGGGCAGCAGTCCTGGCTAAAAACCATAGGTCGCTCGCGAGGCCGCCAGCCACAGCATCGCAAGTGCTCCAAGAAGGAAGGCTGGTGGCCGCTCACGCGCATTGGGGGTGAAGAGGGGCATCGTGTTCATCTCAGTATACCTTCGGCCCAGTGAGGGTCACAGCACGGCTAACGATGAGACGCTGAGAACGTTGCTGCAGTACGCTCCTGTGCTCAATTGCCCGTCCTTGGATTGGGTTGCGCTGGGAGATTTCAACATGACGGTCGACGAGCTGGGGTGCAACTGGATCCATGCGCTGGGTGGCGTCGCGATGGCGACAACAGCCACCACGTGCCGTCAGCGTGAGAAGGGGTCGGTGATCGACTACGCGCTGGTGGCTGCCAATCTGGTCACCAAAGTCAGGCGACCCGTAGTGGATGAGGCAGCACTTGCATCGCCACACAGGCCAGTGCTCTATCAGCTGTAGGTGGTGGACGTCCCCACGCGGTGCCGTGTACCTGATGAGCCAGCTCCGATCGGGGCGACCCCGCCTGTCGGATGCGCTAGACACCCCCAGGGACTGGCAGAGAGTGCTGGACCTCATCGACGCTGCTTCGAACCAGACTGGCCTCCAGGTGGCATGGGATGCTGTGCTGATGGAGGTGGAGAACGAGTTGCTCCACCGCTGGGATGCGACAGGCAGAGATCGGGCGAAGCGTAGTGGTCCGGGAGGAGCTGTCTGCGCCAAGTGGGTGGTTCGCAAGTGGAAGCCACCGTGCATGCGGCTGCAGCAGAGCACGCAGGCGCGCGCGTGGGGCGCGGCGGCTAAGTGGGCCGAGCACCTGGGCTCCACGCACTCGCTCACGGTGACTAAGACCCAGAGGCTGCACGCTGCCAACGCGATGTACACCCTCAGTGACAGCCAGTTTGACGACATCGCGGGC